TATTAAAGCTCTGCGAAACCTGGGAATCCTCACGCCACTGTTGCTGGATAAATCTAAAATCTCAATTAGAATCCAAATCGGTCATCGATTCATCGGTCGCAAGTATACAACGATAAATAACGCAATACCAAGGACTAAGATTATAACAACTCGTCAATAAAATAATATAATACAAGGCACACACGATGAAACTATATTAATACATATGTCCTATAGTATATATAGATACGCATATAATACTTTAGGTCTGGGTAATTACCGTGAGCAACCGCGGTACAATGGACGACAATACGTGAGAGAGTCCATCGGAAAACCCCCGACCAGCGGCATCGCCCGTACTGTTATTACTGATATTTTACTAGCTATCGATGCTGGAATTGTACAGTCATCGACGTACATTATATGGTCGGATTTTCCTTAGGTTTTCCACCGAGCCGTGATCGTCTAGTGGTTAGGACCTTGCGTTGTGGCCGCAATAACCCAGGTTCGAATCCTGGTCACGGCACAAAACATTTTTTGCAGAAAATCATGGAAAACCGGCAAGGGAAAGCCGTGGTCCACGAGAATATCTTACGGTGGAAACTACAATAACAAGGCCTGAGCGACGGCATAATATGATCGGTTCCTGCGGTGTGCCGCCGTCGCGACGAGGTGGAGGTAGTCGTACTGCCATGCAAATATTATATTGCGTTGCTTATTTTTATTTTAATATTTTAGATGACAAATAATTATTTTTTTAAATTCTAAGAGGATAAAGGAATGTATTATAAGAATGTGTATGTGTTTGATTTTTGATTTCCTCGTAATAATTTATCCATCGTATACGTTAGGAAGACGTTACGACAGTACAGTATATATACATAATAGGTGCGTCTTTTATGAATTTTTGGGAATAATAATTTTTTTTTATTTTCGGATATACCTAATATATTGGAATTATATATTATATATTATTATCTTAAAATATATCCATATGTAGGTAGGTCATTAAAATGTTTGTATTCAATAATGTTCTTACATACAATCTCGCCTTGCATCGAATTCTGAAAAGTGTTGCCTATACCTATATCCCCGTATACTATGATTATTGACTGCCTAAATAATATGTAATCTAATAGTCATATTTAAATATTCGATTTGCATGACTATTAGCTATATTTATTATATAGTTGGTTTATGCCACAGGAATACAGGACCCTAATTAAATGTAATACAAAATCTTAGTTATTTCAAAATATGATCCTTTATAGTTTACACTTAAGAGTTCAAAAATCAGAAGCCAAGTCTTATTAGTATAGGTAAAAGAAAGTTTCAATAGTTAAATAAAAATAAACTAAAATATTTCGGTTAATTTAAAATGTTAAATTAAAAAAACTGAACTTAAATAATAAGTTCCATTTTTACACTCTGTTGAGTGAAAAAATCTCATTAATAACATTTCTTTGTAATATATTTTTGGAAATTATTCCATGTCTATATGATTATATACAAATACCAATAACAACAATCTGTAAGAATTGAAGTCTCTAAAAAAATTCCTGAATTAAAATTAAATTAACAAAACTAATTTTGTTAGTTTCGTAATTTATTTCTCAACTATTTTCTTTACCCAGCCTTTAAGTCTTACCTAGGAAAACTTCTGTGATAATCGACTTAACTAAAGTAACTAGGTAACAAAATAAAAACTGTCCTTCTAAAAAATAGCGTGGTACAAAAAAAAACCATTGTAAACCAAAACATTCCATGCTCCACTTACAGAATCTAAAATAAAGGCATGTTAAAACAATTTGTATAAGAGTTCGGAGTTCCTAACAGAGATAATACGCCTTGTTCATTTTTAATTAGTAACCGGTATCCTGCTTTGTGTCGCCGTAAATAGGAATGCAATTGTTATAAAAAAAATAATATTCACAGTACAATGAATTGAGACAGCATGTTTATAAAATATAAATAAATGGTTATAAACGTTATAATTTTCATGTTATATTATTATTATGTGTTATAAAGAAAATATCAATAACATTATACACTATTATAGTATATTATCATATCTACGTGTAAAATGTTTTCATTGTTCTCAGTTCTTATACCAACCGGGTGCTATTAACCAATTAACCTATCATATTTGAAAACACCTCCATTTAATACCAACTACATTTTTCACTTAAAAAGATGTATATTACACTAAATTGCATCATTACATTATCCATACATTTTAATGCATTATTTTGCATATCGTCCCGTACATTTTGTCATTTTGAAGTGCATACCTGCATAAATATATTGCTGAGAGTTCACAGACCTCGTTTATTACGACTCGTTCGTTGTAATTTCTAAAAAATATATATATAAAAAATAATGATAAATATGTGCAAGTACCAAAGTGTATATGATATTAATATGTGACAGCTGTACGGTAATATAATTTATATTTATTTTGAAATTTTATGACGAGTTTAGCTTTAGGTACACGATACTAAACCATTTTCCATTTTTTATTTTATATTAATATTTTTATGATGATGTTTAACAGTAGTAGTGGGTGGATTGGTTATTGAGTAAAGTACAAATTTATTTATTTTTACCTTCAAAACATCGTTGATTTTTTTTAAGCTGACAAAAACCATTTAATTTTGATCGTGTTATTTTAATAATGTTATATTATTATAAATTTGATTACGTTGAGGCCTATTCAAAACACAATCTATTCGATAAATATTTCCACAATCGTGTAACCATTAAAAGGTCAATAATTGTAGGTACGCAATCGGGTTCTATCCTTTTTATTCACTATAGGTACCTACTTAGTGTATATGATACTCAATATTCAAATTTTGAAAAAATTACGAGCATTATTGAAATTGCTATGCCTAACCACATACAAATATGTATAATCATATGTTTAACCTATGGTATTCACGCTTATTTAATATAAATATAACTGAATAATACCGGTTTCTTGTGAGTTTTGATTTATGTATAATATTACCATATATACACTTATTATATTAAACTATACTTTACTGGCCCTAACAGCAATAAGTAGCCATACCAGCTGCCTGCAAAAGTCCGGGTAATAAATATTTTATATACTTAATATATTATAAGTATAACAATAAAATCAACAGTTTTGATAGGTACCATATTATTATCATACCCATACAGGTAGGCGTAGGCTGCAGTTACCAAGCGATCGAAGAAATGATCATAAATTTGCAAGGTATCCATTTTCATAAATTGTTGGTAAGTTTGGCCTAACCGTCCTGTCCGAAGTTATCAACTGAATTGCACACGCCATGTCCCAAGGTGAAAATAATATGTGAATTATGTCCGTCGATCATAATGATATTGTATGCGCATATGTATAACGATAATTGATATTATACGATGTACAAGTTATATGCTTAAATGAATATTATAATATATATTTCTCCGGTCTTCATTCGTTAAATGATGGTTTGCACAAATGACTAAAAAATTATCCAGGTACAATTGATAAACCCTGTATTTTATCTAATCAAATATTTGAATATTAACTTATTTACCTCGGAGGCTCGAAATGTGGAAAATATTATAATGTATACCTACCTATACAATAAGTTTATTTTTAATGACGATATAAATTACTATAAAATATAAATTGAACAAATCTACTTTACTAATAACACCTTTTTTTCTTCAAAATATCTGTTTGATATAATATGCTGAATTCAATAATGATTGAAGTATGTGAGGAAACTGACCGTATGAAAATTATGGCATTGTGAAATTTGTCAATATAAATTTACTGCTAGTCCGTATTTTTGAGGTCTATCTTCTATTATTGTTTATTGAGCTGTCTCGAAAACTTGCAAAATAATTAAATAATTGTATCCATTATAATATGCTAATGCTATAGAAATAGGTGAATAGCATAATATTTAGATTTATCATCAATCTCAAAACGATAAATACGAGATTAACGTATTTTTTATTTATATTAAATATTAATTAACCCACATATAAATTACGATTAAATAAATATAAGACAAATTGTTCTAATGTATAATTGTATAATTTATTGCAACTTACAAAATCCACACCCGAGTGCAAAAATATACATTTAATTAAGTTGTTATTGCACATATAGTTACATACCTGGTAATAACTAATAGGTACAGGCACAATATTTCATCGTCTCTCAATAATTATCGGTTTTTTTTATTTACATATTTTGGATGATATTATAGGTAGTTATAGCAGCAGGTTAATACCACTTAATTGGTAACCTAATAATATCAATACCTACTTAAGAGCTAAGTAGGTACTCGAATAATGAATAATAATAAAAGTTAAAACTGACATAATGAATATTTTATAATATTATATTATATCGTTCATGATTTGTTGAATTCCAGTTTCACGGGATGATAATTTATTATTATTATTATTATTTCACGACAAGGCCGATAATTAATGATAACGATGACGTAAACAAAAAATATATTATAAATTGTTCTTAGCATAAAATATTAGCAAGTAATTTTAACAATGTTTAAAAATATTTTCTATGAACTATTTGATGACAATAGGTACCAAACTAAAATAAGGGACAAGGGTGCTATTACATTGCCCGTGCTCAAAATTGTCTTGTTATTCGCCAAGTTCAATAATAATTAATCACAACATTTTTTAGGTAACACTATAGCCATAATAACCACCCAGACCGCGGTGGAATAATTGAATAATTTCAACTATTTCGGTACCTAGTACCTACCTATATATTATTATGCGGTATCGGGTTAACCACACACGGTGTAACAATAATAACAATAATAATAATAATAATAATAACATAATATAGGTACCAATTATTAATATTATTTATTAATACCGTGCAGTTTATCCGCTGACGTATGACGACACACAATTATTATTTCCACGTCTATTAAAACAATCTACACCACCTATCTACCTGTATAATACCTACTCATGGGTTATTATATTATTGTATACTTATTATGGTACCATGGTCGCCCGCGTTTCACTACAACAGTTTTCACCGACAGCGCTCTCCTTACATACGCTTACTATGGGAACATTTTCCACCCGGCCGTGATCGTCTAGTGGTTAGGACCTTGCGTTGTGGCCGCAATAACCCAGGTTCGAATCCTGGTCACGGCACAAAATCTTTTTGCACAAATATCCCGGAAAAACGAACGGAAAACTATCTCGACGTGTACCCCCGCACCGTCTTCGTCGCCATCACCATTGTTGTTGCGTTACGGTTTTCCGACGGTCACGCCGCTTGTTCTTCACGTAGTATACCTACCACCACCGGTTGTTACCTATCGCGGGAATAATAATCGTATTATACCATCTTAAATTATTTCAACAGGCTGATAACAGTATGAATAAATGATTTTTTTTTTTACAATTTCTAATTAGCGGGTAGGTAAGATATTGTAAGATGTTATAATTATTATTATTATTCCCCGACCACTGTAGAAGACTTGCTCGACAGAGAAGAATGTATGGAAATACCCACATTATATGGTATACATATAGTATATATATATGTATAGTATACACTGTAAAATCGATCTCGTGATAAATAAAGCTATAAGTATAATCATCGTCTAAATCGTAATAGATAAAATTATCTCAATTCTTGTTATAAATAAATAATCGTATTAAGATATAGTTGTTAATTTGTTATTATAAATTGCAATTCTGTAATAGAATTCAAATATCCGATATGCTTGTAAATTATAATAAAACACTAGTTGTTCCTCACACATTTTGAAGTTTTATTTTATTATTTTTATAATATCAAGCCAAAAAGGTAAAATAATAGTTAATTTAATTTAATCAAAATTAAGACTTAGCTTCCAATGCTTCATTAAAAAAATATAAAAATTCAATTGTAAAATATTGTAGGTACATACAATATTGAATATTTAATAGGAACGTCCAACAAAAAATCACACTTGTACGTTGTATCCTTGTCTTACAAAGTTACAAACGCATAATAGCAAATTTGAAGATCAATTTTGTATAGTATACCTATAGAATTAAAATCTTCTTACATATTTAAATATTATGTTTTATCTTATCCTTTTTATGATTTTTTTTATTCATTAAAATAGGTTTATAAAAATTAATGAAAAAATTGAATTTTTTTGTTTCAGTTCAATACAAAGTGAATTGTGACAATGACTACATGACCGTCGATGTTAAGAAAACCGATGACATTAAAAGCATTTATTTGAACCAAATGAAATTTTATCCAGGTAATATATAATTATCGTTAATTTATTACTAAAAGTTGAAGTTGGACGGTTTTAGGTCCCATAGTTTTAATATAATGTTTGATATTTAATAAAAAAAAAAAACATGTTAATTATGTAAGCCGTAATATGGTACTCAAGTACCATAGTACCTAAGTAAAAAATTGTCAACCAGATGCCGAGATAATAATATATGTATAGGTACCTAGCATATTTAGTACCTAATGAAAAATCTAGTTTTATTACATTAATTGTTTCGAGGTACTATTATAATGATAATATTATATTATGTTTTATAATATATTATTAAAGATACATTTCACTATTTATTATCTATATTATCTTATTGATGAATATCATTGTGTAAGCTGGACGGTATAGATCGCCCATGTATATAAATATATTTATGGAACATGAGGTAAATGCACAATAAGTCATTTTATATGACGAATTGCAATTATAGTGCAATAGTAGATTTTTTAGTTTAATACAAATAAACGCTCTTTAAGAATAGCGAAAGCCAATATTATTTGCTCTGTGGCGGTTGCGGCTAGCCGTAGGTAGTATTTTTTTTTAGAAAATGTGAAATTGCAGTATATATAATATCTATACTTTTTACACAATTTTTTAAACTTCATTCTTCAATTTTTTTTTATTACAATCAGAGCTCGCTTGCCAACCGGTTTTCGAAAAAAACCTCATTCAGTTCAAACTGTCTCTACAAGACGTGTTCAAATGCGGACTGACTAAAGTGACCAATCAAGGAACCGTAAGGGTTTGGAAAATTTCTTTAGTTTTTCGAAAATTCTACACGGAAAACTTATGCATTTTCAGGGTACAGTCACGTACTATCATCAGATAGTCATAGAGAAAGACGGTGGTAAAAACTACGAGCACAAGTCTTTCGTAAATGTGAAGTGCTGGTTTTCAGGAAACAAAAATCACACAGTGGCCAAGAGGAATGTGCTACCTGCCGGATTCCAAGAGCCAGAGTAAGTTTATTGCTGTATGTGTGCTCGTATGAGTTTAGGAATCGGTTGTATCTAAACAATAAATTATTGACTTATTTTAAAACACTAGATAAGATTATACTTACCTATAAACATAATATTATTATGACTAATTTTAATTTTCAAAAATTGACCGGAATGTTTAGTAATAAAAGATAGGCATGCTAGGCATGTTGGGCCACGAAGTAAAATAAAAAAACTATTTTCATATCACTAAACTGGCATATCTTGCTTAACGGACTAGTACGATTTTCCGATTACGATTTCCCAAAAATGTTAGCAAATATTGTTTATATTCTACTAGCTGATCCCGCAAACTTAGTTGCCCATAAAATATGACAAATCTTAAAAAAATTGTAATTGTTTAACAACTTGTTGGTGTAACTCCATGCAGTAAGTGCAACTCAGCCACCTGATTGGCAATCCGACTACGTCAGATCTTGGCCAATGTGAGACAGCATAAAGCTGGTACCAAGTAGGCACGTCACGCGCCGATGAGAGGCTTTAAGTGCTACCCGCCACCTTAGTAGCCAATGTGCGAATATTCGATTTGATACCTACATGCTTGATCAATTAACTTATGGCAACCAATAAAAATAAAAATACTAATTTTAACTAATTATTTGTCTACAACCAATAGTAAAATAGTAAACAATTTCCTTCTTAAATCTTAAAATATCTGTTTGAGCAACTATCCGGGTTGGACCTACCCGATCAAATTATGAATCTAAATCATCCATGGAACCACACAAACACACACAAGAAATTTCATCAAAATCGGTCCTGCAGCAGTTTAAGAATTCATAAAGGTTATATAGACGGACATTCATTTTTATATAATATATTTATAGATTATTTTCGGTCACACAATTAGTTTTTTCAAGACAAATTATACATTAAAACCTTCCCCGTGAGTGGCCGTGACTCGACCGATCTATTAGTGAAAACCGTATTAAAATCCGCACAGTACTTTTCGAGATACGCGCGTACACACAAAAAAGGGGCTTCTAATTTATAATATATTGCAAAATTTTTCATCGATGCTCCTCTCATATTGGTCGTAGTGTGATGTTATATTATAATTTATAGCCTATATCTCGATAAATGGACTATCGGACAATTCAGCACAAAAAAATGTTTTCAATTCGAAGCAGTAGTTCATGAGATTAGAACATTCAACCAACCAAACAAACTCTTCAGCTTTATAATATTAGTATAGATTATAATATAATATTTTGTAAGTTTATAGAATCTGTGTAATGTTTATATTATCTATATATTAGTTATCTTGTATTACGTAGGTACTTACTTTGTAGATAACGTGACGACGGAATATCCTTGATAGTTTTAATTTTAAGTCGTTGTCAAGCAATTTTAAGTAAGTAAATTATAAGGTATCGAATAGTGAGTAGCCTGCAGTAGGTAATAACAATATTATAACGATAACTCACCGACGCCCGGCGGGTGATCGACTAGATTTTTTGTAAACAATATAGTATAATATAACATTCAACTATAATTTATTTTATTATGTAGATCAATAGAATATGACTCAAGTAGGTACATTATAAATATTATATTCACCTATAGATTATAGGTAAACTTTTTTTTAATATTGCACTTTGTTTGGGAACTGAACCGTTTGCACACTCCTTGACCCCCCAAGCAGCATCGTTTATATCCAAAATCGAATATCTACAACATTATTTGCCCCAATGGAATCCAGAACAAACTTTTTTTAGCGCGATTTAGCATGTGTAAGGCTATAACCTTTTTTTCTCTCAAAATTCTTAAATTGGCCATCTGTTAAACATATGAATGAACAATAAGCTAATTAAAAATAAAATATGACATGAAATAACTGATTGGAGCTGGGACTTACAGAGTGGAGGTACTCCATTGGGGAATAAGGTCGTGGCATAACCTAATAATAACATTTTTAATAATGATTTTTGTTTTCGTGAAATGGTGTTTTTAGAAAATGGATTCGGGGTTTTGGTTTTCGTGATATTATTTTTCAGGAAAATGGTCATTCGGGAATTCACGGGAAAGTCTGATAATATTTTTTTTCATTATAATATCCATCTATCCATGGTAATTTTTGACAAGTTTAATATTATACTAATTATCATTTTTACAGTTTTTAACAGTACTTACCTCTAATATTTCCACAATGTACATTATTTAATTAATCCTTGCTTATATACAGGGTGTCCCGTGAGGATTTACTCATTGCGATATCTCCTGAAATAATGGAGATATCGTAATTATGTTTTTTTATTAAGACTCGCAGAGGTAAGCACTACAAATATTTTATTTTTTAATTAAATTAAATTTTTTAGTAAAAAGTTAAAAAAATTATTTTTTTATTTTTTTATTTTTGAAAAAATTGAAGATAGCCATTCTATAGAGTATATTTTTGTGAACATTTTGAGCTTTTAACATTTTATTTTCATTAATCTCATGATTTTTAATAATTTTTTTAGTTTATTAGTAAAACGTCAATAAACTGGTTTTTGTCCGGGCGGCGAGTCCCCCTCTACGGCTAATGAGTAAATCCTCACGGGACACCCTGTATATATATATTTATTTATTTACCTTACTATACTCTATTCAGAATAAGACTACACCAGACGGCCACTGTAAAAATCAGTTTTGCTACGTAAATCTGGTGTGCTCTTATTCTGAATGGACTATAGAAACTACGATTTGTTAACGATACTGATATAATTTACTGTTTTAGTTCATGGTTTTAAATTTTAATGCAAATCATATGCTTCCCTTTGTAATGTAAGTTCATTAACTACTTACTTACTATTACGTGTAAACCAGTTATTATTTCATTAATATGGCTATTATTTTATTAAAAGTACCGTACTAAAATAACCAGTAAACTAGTAGATAGGTAGGTACTTATTTTCAATATTACCACCCTTGAGAGGACGCCACACTCGCATATGCACATATGTGTTGTCTCCGTCTTACAAATTTACAACATAGCAGAAAATGTTTTTCGCGGGACAACTGTTCTCGCACCATATTTGTTGTAGAACTACCAAATTTTCACAACACATAAAGAAGAACTTTATCTGTGCAACAGCATGCTTTTTTTTAATAGCACCATCCAATCATTTTTTATAAGCAAATTAAAAAACAAAATGTTTAGAAGCAAATAACTTTTATTGTATTTACGTTATATAAAATATGAGATTGCACAGATAAAGTTCTTCTTTATGTGTTGTGAAAATTTGGTAGTTCTACAACAAATATGGTGCTAGAACAGTTGTCCAAAACAGTATTTGCTATGTTGTACATTTGTAAGACGAAGTCAACACATATGAGGGTGTGGCGTCCTCTTAAGATGTTGACGTGTTATGTAGGTACCTACCTACCTATATGCTATCAATAAGAGTTAGATTTTAATATTTTATCAGTTTTAACGTGTATAATAATACAATTATCATTATGTTGAAGTTTCACAAATAATATAAAAACAATATCCCCACAAATTATATTATTATATTCGTCTCGATACGAATTTAGAAAAAATAATATTATATCACGGAATTGTTTTTTTTTTTTTTTTTGGTACGGTTTATTTACGATTACGTTACCTAAGACCTGATCCAACCTAACCCAGCCGATTCGGCTCAAAACCACGAATACATAATAGTTATAGTCTTATTAATAGTGTATACTATAACCCATTAATACACACATAGTAATGATATAGTCTTTCAAATCGTTTGCGGTGTGAAGATGTGGTCCAGTTTCGAAATAATTGTCAAAATACACAGTTGGTATATAACATGCAACTATATAGATTTTCTACAATGATAATAAGGCAATTCCATTTAAACGATACACTTCGCTGATTTACCACACGATCGCACGTGCCCGCTGACGTGTGTAATTTATTTGTTTATATCTAATATTACATTAATAGGTATATTGTATAGAGTATAGATAGTCAATCGAGCATATTATTATATTATTATTTTCGAAGCGTATAATGTGGCTCACCGCTTACCCATTGGTTAGGTGCCTATAAGCGTTTAAGTCGTTAGGAAAATTGTGAAAACTAGTATTTATATCCTTATTTGTAATCACTTCAAAATAATCCTTAAACACGTGAGTGATAAGAAGAGGGTCGAAAGATATATAGCACTTTTGGGATCACACAGAAATAGGTTTGGAAAATGTCTTGTGTGACTGGTACTTTATACACAATGAACGCATAAAGGTTATTGATTTATTCCGTTTTATTCTCCGAAAACAAAAGGGCTAAATAATAAATTATTTTTATAAAATACATATCTATGCACTTATTTGGGATCAAATATGCATAAACCCGTAATATACAAAATATAGTTTTAAATATAAGCCTTATTGAGTACCTAATGAAAGGCATGAAACACATATATATTATATTGTGTATCAGTATGTATTGTTTTGAGCTCATATTGTTTAAAAATATGAAAATCCTAAAAGTCGCTAGCCCTATAAACTTGTTAAATAATACGTTTATTACAAATTAGTCAGTGAACCCATAGTAATACTCATTGAGTATAATCGTATGAACTGATTCTTTGTGTACAAAACAAAAATGTATCAATAAAAAATTGTCCCGTCGTCCTCTCCTCTAAGTCACATTTAGAGCTTTGTTTTTATGCTCGCTGTACGTATGTGCCCGCCACTGGTCACTGCGGATCGTTAACAATATAATAATAATGCATTTATATATATTTTATTATTGTATGGATATGCGGTAAAAATCAAAGTATATTATATAGGCAATACTATAATTATTGTCAATAGGTATAAATGTAAAATCAGTAATCACTATAGGTCTATATAAGCTGCAATGTCGACAATACCGGTTTGATCTTTATCCTCCGGCAATATTAAATAGTTGTCTATATCAGCTTGTTTTCGATTTCATCGAGTGAAATAATATTATGTATTGTTGAATAAGATATAATGAAAGTGCCTATATATAACAAAAATATAAGCACAGCAACAATTACTGTCCATCTGTGTTTCTATGTGGTGGAGTTGCGAGAGGGGTAATTAATTGTCTGTTGAATTGACAATGTTCTGTTTTAGAGTAAATGTACCTATCAACTTCAAAAATAATTGAAAACTCTGGTGAAATACGAGTATTTAAGTATTAAAGCAGGTAGTCGAAATGCGTTTTTGGAACTTTCAGAAAATCCCGAAAAAACGATCTTGTTTACCGCCCAGTAATTTGAACGAAACAGATTATTATGATACCTATATGGGCTTTAATATTATACCTACCCTTTAATATAGTTCTGTCGTTTTAGTATTTTATTGTAATTATTGTTATAATAATATTATGATTTCAACGTTTTAATTACCTGAATTACATATTTTAGAAAATCAACGTTATATTATAACTATCAAAATTCAAAAGCAAGATATATTCTTTGAAGCCTTTTACTTTTAAGTTATCAACTTTTTTTTCAGATAAACCAGATATGGCAGATATGATGTTCAAGTATTATGTTTCTTAACTTGTGGTACCTATTGCGGTACCTATTGTTACGGGAATTATTGCTATTGTTCTATAATAGTAAATAGTTTATACTATATAAAGCTAGCTGTATAGCTGTTATTATATTATATTATAAACTATTATGTAATTTTGTACACAAAAATACGCTCTACGGGGATAATATAATCTATATAGTATACACATATAAGAAAGACAACACATGTTTGTACCTACTTACCTATGTCCTTTATGCATTCCAAAACAGTTCATCATATTGAAAATAAATTTAGTACAGAGATAGATTAGACCGAAATAAAGATAGGCTACATTTTGTTGCGAAAAAAGGTAAAAAAGTAGTCCAACCCGGTAAGGTTCTCATATATCGATTTTAAGATTATTATTTTTTTTTTTCATAAATTGATCCTATTGGTTTTAATAATAATAATAATTATATTTTTAATGCAATAAGCGTGGGCTGTGTTTTAGTACATAGGTACTGTACAGAGTTCAAACCACGGTTTCGGAGGACCAATTTTTTGAATTTTTTGATACTGTGGAGTTAAATAAAATTATACACTTATATGCCTACGAAAGGATCTACCGCAGATTGTCCACCTGATAATATATTATTTCTCGCATAATCACAAGTGAATCTCACGGACAACACCGCGGTCGGGATGGCTATAGATTAAAATATAATATTATTTACACTTAAAAGATATTACTTCCACAGCGTGTTACACCCAAAAGGAGTTGAACAGTCACAACAACTTAGCAATAGCGAAGCGTTGCCGTGTCAGCTAGTATTATATATATTCTTTGTTCCTATTATAATAACCAGCAATCTACGTTCCTCACGTTCAATTAACCGGATACCGTGTACACTGTACAATATTATATTATAATATTATGACTATGATTTAACTACATTACAGGGACTTGGAGATCACTACTTCGTTGACGGAAAACGCTCCGGTTCCCATGCTTAAGGTTGGCGTGCGACAGGGCGGTAGTATCGTTAACGGCGAGCTCAACGTCAACCCAGGCACACCGTTGCAAATGGAAATATACCTGGACAAAGACAGTGCCCCGATCTATGGGCTGCTGGTGAGCTACATGCAAGTGACGGACACCAAAGCGCAAGAGGAAACGATCATATTCAACGGGTAAGATATCATAGATATGTCACTACTCGGGCACGTACGGAAAAAAAAAATCGGAGGGGGGTTGTTATTTATAGGATACGAATAGGACCCGCTTACTGCAATATAGGTACATTAAACCTCTGAATTTTTAGTGTTGAAACACACATGTGTATAAGACATGAGAACAGTGTTTATAATACTAGTGGTTTTGGAAGACAAACACAATAATTGTTTTAATTATAATGAATATAAACTAAATGTAGATTGATGTTAATTTATTTACTCGTTATGTTATACGATATGTGAGAGTCTAAGAGTTGAACACATATTTTGTATTATACAATGAATTTAAGAACAGCTTGTTCAATCAATCAACATAATATATTTTGTACGTACTATATTATATGTATTCTTTTTTACCAACAGCTGTTCGGTGGATCCATATTTGTTCGAAAACTTTAATACGGTGGACGGCGATTTTTTGACCGCTAAATTCAGGGCGTTCAAGTTCCCCGAGTCAACGTACGTGCAGTTCAAAGGCACCGTTAACGTCTGTTTAGACAAGTGCAGAGGGGTTAGTATACTTACATTACACTCCGTTAATGTGTGTTGCGTATACATACTATATTATAATATGACTACAATTTATATACATATAGGTATATAATTATATTATATGACGCGTGTTGTTTTAATGAACACTGCAGACGAACGACGATGACTATAATAATATTGTGACTATTTGTATAGGTAGGTACTTATATAAAAATAATGATGTGCACTTTTAACAACCTATTTGTTCAGACGTTAAGAAAATATTATTCTAAAATGATATAGTTTATATTTCCGTTGTCTATAAAACCCTTTTTTTGTTTTATTAAACAACATTTAATTTAACCATTCAACATAATATTATATACCGACAATTATTTAAAATACATTAATTATAGATATATTACTTGATTATTCAAAATTCAAACATAGACGGATATCATATTCTACAATAAATAGTATATATACACCTAAGCATATACATTTACAATGAAAAATGATTAAAAATCAGTATTTTTCAATTTATGCTTAACAACAATTTACAAAATTACAATATACAAAGTGTTGAATAAAATAAAAATAACGCGAAGACACGTTTTATAAGATATAATTTCAAACTAAATATAGTTTATTTTTACAAATGACCTAAATAAGAATAGACATTTTTAAAAATGAGAGAAGTACGCTACCGAGATCAATAAGAAAAATCCAACCACTGTATATTTATCAAAGATTATTAAAAAAAAAAAAATGTTTTCTTAGTATTTTAACATTTCCGAATTTACCAATCTGACTCTGCCCACCCAAGCATGCACATCGCGTCAATTAATGCACATCTTGTAGCAAATAAATCTAATAATGATATAGGTAGGTAATAACTACAAGGACATTAATTGAAAAATGTAACTTTGAGAATGAAAAAAAAAATTATAATCTACATTATTTGTTAATCTTTCATTATGAACCCTAATGACATCCACAGTTTGTTAAACAGATATCTCATTAAAAACGAATCATGATTAACGAAGTGCTAATAAACAGTGCAACCCGCGTGTGTCATTATATATTATATACCTTAATACGGCACACAAATAAAGTTACAACAAATGTAAAGTAATTTACCAATTCGTATAAGATTTGATCCCGTTAGTATTTAAAACTATATTAGATGTCTGCTCTAAATTTGGACATGTATTTTATTATATTTTTACGTCGTTATTTTACAATCAAATAAAATGTAAAATACAATAATACACTTTTCTATTATATTTTGACATATTTTAACGGCTCTTTTATTATATTTTGATACCTAACTACTGATACCATTTTCTACCACTATAAGAATTCTTAAACTTTTAACCTACCTATATATATAATACTGGAACAGCCAATAATATAAAACAATATTTTTGTCTTGCACAATTCAGTAGACGACTGGCTGAAAATTAATGATTCGTTACACTCAACTGCGTCTGTAAAGAAGTAAAACACGTTTTTAAAATTAATTTTTATCATTAGAAAATATTCAATTAAATGGTTAAAGAAAGAATTAACATAAACTTAATACACAAAATTACAGTTAAATCGTTTAAAAAACACGCATGATTTTTAAATGTTATTTAATCTAAAGATTTTCTACTTTCAATATTATAAAATACTTAATAGTATGTCCATTACATAACCACTGTAGTCAGTGACGGATTGGGCATATTCTGGGAAAACGTGTGTTTGATTTATTTTATAAATAATTAATTTAACTATGACCTATGAAAACTGGTTTTCAGTTCTCGTCTGCTGCTTGTTAGTCACATTGATTGGGTATTTTTTTTTATTGGTAAGTCATATTGTAAGTTCTAATAAGTAATATTATAGAAGTAAATTAGTAAAAATTATAAAATTAATTTTATTATTTATAAGATAACGCTTTCACGATTTAATTTACCCAGTACCTATATAAAACAAAACTTTGGTTTTAGGTGGATTGTAGCAACGGCAAAGTTGGTTTCGGAAGGAAGAGGCGAGAAATCAGTGGTATTCCACCTGACCCGAATAAGGTGTTTGAAGTGGCCATGACCACTTTCATTAAAGTGGATTACAAGAGTGAAATGGCCCGAGAAAAAGGTAAAAACAACGTATTTATGTTGGAAAACAATCCCAGTATCTAATTAGTCGGGTGAATATTTTATTATTAAGTACCACATATACAATTTTTAAAACGTTTTGAAAATCGAAAAACTTTATTATTAATTAATATTTAACATTTATTCACAATTTTGGTGCACCATAAAGTCAATTGATTATGACCATGACGGGCGAATAATAATATGTATCTTACGGTATACCTAAATTTTTAATGCTTATAGTGCTTGCATATGGGTTAATATATTTGCCTATACATTACCCCTTAAAAACGCGTTTGCAATTGCGCGATTAAAACCCCAATAATTACGATTACGGGAAATAATAAGAAATGTTGTTATACAAGTGGAATATTTTATAGTAAACAATAATAAGATAAAAAACAATAGCTATGACTCTCTGTCAAATAGAAGGAATTCGTTTTTTTATTTAAGAGAGGAAAACTATTTATTCAGGCTTTCAGACTTTTAGTGAAGACTTCCGAAAATCGGAGTCCAATCCGACCTGCAGCATAATAATATAGTGTTCGTTTTTGAAAATATAAAAATAAAATTTCACCCGACGAGCTAGTTTTTCCTAGAGTTTCCTATGAGTGAAAACTCATCCGATACCTCTTAAACACTTGAAATGTATTATTATTTATTAACTATTACCAATCATATAATATTTACGGTGGTAAAACTTAGTCCCTTTGTTTTCGCAGTGAAATTGGAAATCGACACGACCGCGGACGAACGGAACCAGACCAACTCAAACTCGCTGGACATGAGGCCCAAGGGTGGCGCCAGGAACGCGGACGGCACTGACCACATGCGAGTGGACACCGAGGAAATCCGAGAGGAGCTCAAGTACACGCTGCTGGAGACAAACGCCGGCCACACTCTGGCACCGCACGCCGTGGCCGTGGTGGCCGCGGTGGCCGCGCTGCTGCTGGTGGCCATCGATTGAGGATGGACGTCTGAACAACGAGCGCCCCGCCCCACAGCCGTCTCACAACTAACCGCTCTAACCTTATTAACTTTTCTATTCTTTTTTTCGTGATTTATATTATATTATATATATTAATTTATCCATAATTATTATTATTAGGTAAATAATTAATTAGACGTAACATAATAATATAATGACGCCAGGTATTGTCGTTCAAAACAATAACCGTTTGGAGCCTTCAAAAAGCAAAATGTTTGTGTTTTTTCGAATCGTTTATTTCCTGCCTCACCCCACCCCTAAAGCTTGTTTAATGCTTGGTGTGGGTGGGACTTCATGGGGTGTGAACTCTACTTTGTCGATGGCTAACAATCCAGAAGACTATAGACTCTGTTATTTAAGTAAATAATTTATGAAATAGTCAAAACTTATAAAAATATTATGACGTAGGTACCTAACACAACCATCATTAATCTATCGTTTAAACATTATGCACTTCTTTTACGGACTATTATGAAAAAAAATTGAAAATTTCAATCATCAATCAATGGTAGTACATGTTTTTGAAATGCACGTCTTCGCATCGTGTTTGGAAAATCTATTAAAACTTTAATCACTTAAATATATACACCTATAATAATAATAAACATCGTCATATAATTATACAACTTATTCAATTATTTAACTTAACTTACTTGAAAAGTCGTATATGGACGGATAGGTAATGAGTAATGACTGATGTGAAAGGCTAGGATTTTAATGACAAAAAAAAATACGATGACCTAATATATAATGACTTACAAAATTCCTTTACAATAAAAATCGACCTCAATAAATAAATAAATTATAAACAAATTAACAATTTTTAGTTTTTAATTTACATAAAATACAAAAATTAGTAGGTAGCTAAATATTGATAAATTTAAATTTGAAGTATAAATATATTAAATTAAGAATACCTTTTGATTGGAAGATGAATTTCAAAAGTGAATCTTGAAATACACCAATGAAATTATTTTTAAAAAAAAAACATTTTTTACGTATTTAAATTCATAATAAACACAAAAAAGATTCAATAAAACTCTAAAAAAATGCCCATAACGCTAAAAAATTACTCAGAAAAGGGTAAAATAACATTTGAAAATTTTAAAAACCCTGATGTTTGAATCGAAATTTGTACTTTCAATGCTGTTTTTGAGATCATAAAAAAATGCTTTGAAACCCTAGTCCTGCTGATGAGTATAATATAACATTCAAAATGTTATTTTGAAAGATTTTATAAATAATCGGCACAAACGGTTGTTGTTTTGAAATCCATTTTGTTTTAATAATTCAAATAATGTTTATTTTGGTTTGCAATTATTTATACGATTTGCTCATAAAATAAATTGTGTTTATTTTTTATAAACTCGTAGAAGCAGATTTTTGTTAAAAGATTCATCAACCATCGTTAAACGTTTTTGTTTTGGTACTATGAATAACGGGTCTTACATTGTTCAAAATATATCTTAATTAGGTAGTATTGAAACTGAAAGATTTATTATTAAATTGAATTAGTAATGATTAATTAATATGTCCATTAATATGGTGCATAATATAATATAGGTACATATTTTAACTTAGGCCTATGATTATTCCTCGAAAGTGTGCAATTTTTCTACGAAATTTTATTTAGTACAAGCCGAACTAAATTCGTTTTCATTTTATCAATAACTGTGATAATTGTAGTTGTATTATTATTAATATTAAAACAAAATAACTATATGCTATAATTTATAGAGATTTTTGTAACGTCAATTTGTAATATAATATTAGATGTAAAGTGGTCATGATTTTTTGATTGATAAAATCAGTCTTTTTGTAATGTAAACAAAATAATAAATAATATGATTAATTTTCTAATATAATTCATATTTTTTTATCTATATATTAGACGAACTAATCAATATTTCAATATTTGAAATATTGAAATTCGGTTTCATTCAAAAACCAATACTTATAACTCGGTACCAATGTATTCTATTTTATTTTATTACCTATTTGATATTATATTAAAAAATATACAAATATGTTATAAGCTGCTAGTTGCAATAAGGAAATCAAATTGGTTTAGACTACCGAATACCTACAAATAGATAATAATATGATTATTGTGCTAACAAAATCATGTAGAAACGTTTAAGACAGAAATATGTATTAATACTAATGTATGACTACTTTTTTGAATTTAATTCTAACAATTATAATAATTGCTGTAATTTTACAATTTACAATTATAAATTTTATAGTTCAGTTACATTATAACTTTCATATTATTATTGACATGTACCATGTACATTGTACATAATATCATGCGGTATATCATGTGATATATCAAAGATTGAATAACCTATATAAAACTCACTGACATATAAGTTATAAGAAGTCACAATTAGTTGCCATAATATTGGAAAAATATTACTTATCACTTATCAGTTATCAGTTATCACCATAAATTTGAACACAAAGAACGAAACCGAGTCTCATACTGTCATTAAAATTGCCAATATAAAAACCCCTTTAAAACTATCGTGTGACGTCGTCCATAAAACAATTTAGGGAACTTTTAAAATATTAGTATAACAATAGTCAATAAATTCTATTCCGATTATCCGTTTAAAATATTGTGAAATCTTCTATTTTGTTGATAATAATTCAAATTAAGTATACATTAATTGTTTTCTATACTTGTATTACTTTATTTACTTATTGGAACTTATTTATATTGTTAATTGGCAGTTTTAAGTTATAACCATCTCAAAAAATAAATTTAAACGGTTAACTAGTAAATATAAATATAAATATGCTAGTCTTAAATTGTTTTAAAATAAATACCAGTAATAAAAATATTTTATACCTAGCTGCGAAAAAGATTATCATAATTTATACTTAATTATTTTATAAATTATAATAAAAAAATATTAAATAAGGTAGGTATAAAACCAACCTTATACTAATAAGGTACATTACCTAATAAAACTAGAAGAACTTAAGTAAAGTTAATGTTAATTTGTTAAGTTGATCTTAAACTTGATCGAAATAGATACCTAGTTAACGTTTCCATTGACACCTGAAGTTAACTGCCAACTCAACTGAAAAAACAATTATTAAACTTAATAGAGTTGAAAATATCATTGACACGCCTAAAACAATCGACTCAGAACTCAAAATAATTTTAATATATGCAAGCAGAAGCATTAGCTATTTGGAGTAACGGGATCAAGAGGGTCTAATGTTGAGGTGTAGTATAGCCAGTATAGCGAAGGTATTCCGTGGTAGTTCAGTCCGGGAATATATTTTCCGCACTATTATAGACCTTCAATCGATAAAAATCGTATCTTGTAATAATGTTACTTTTTTTTGAATATTTTGTTTTATATTTTTAAAAAATTGTAACGGGTCATATGGGATACCTTCGCCATACTGGTTAACTATACCGGATAAATACGTTCCGGAATTTATACTTTCCGGCTATACATTTTCCAATATTTAAAAACTATATTATTATTTGTTAAATTAAGAGAACGATGTAGATCACGTTTATTCCCGTTACTATACAAATTAGAGTGAATTAACCTCTTATAACATTTAAATGTAACATTAATGCCATAGCCTTTTTATTATATTTTAATTTTAAAGCAAGTTATGAGTATTTTAAAATTGTAAATTGTTTGTAAGTTTTAAAATACTCATTACTCGCTTTAAAATTAAAATATTATAATCAAAAGACTATGACAAAACTCGATATGTTACTCACTTGTAATACGGAGACAACACATGAGTCAACACACACGTCCGCTTAATATTGAGATTTGAGATTAGTCGTACTTTTTATTTTTGGTGGCCCACTCGAAGATATTAATTGTTTACTAAAGTGGCATTCCGAGGAAAAAAGATTGGGCATCACTGTGCTAGACACTCAAACACGGCTTTTAGATTTACGCTTTTCGACTTTCATAAAAACACAAGACTGGACCTTATCCAGCTTTCCAAGGCTCGAAAAACAAGTCATACCACGGAATCAGTGGTCGCAACCAAGTACCAACATCACAACCACCGATCGCCGTATAACGCCAAACCGAGGGTTATAACTAATAACCGGATTCCCGTGAAATTGCATCTTTTTATGGCGTGTTCTAAATTCAATAGAAACAAGCTACAAATCCAAATCAAGATATGTAGATTAATTTAAAGAAAATTTTATGTTGCACAAAATTGCACGTTTCGGGTTTTTTTTTCATAAAAGTGTACTCTTGTATTACCTATTTATATCGGTGCTATATTATGCTGCTATATAAAGTATTGGACTTTTATATCTAACAATATAATTATATATATATAACTATATAATACGATGTAATTAAGATAATAATGACTAAGGTACTACGATGGTCGATAGATTATCGATTGCATATAGGTACAGTATACACATGCAGTACTAGCTACAGTCTATCCGCAGCCGTTGTAGTAAACTCATGTTTTATACAAAAATTTTATAGTTTAATAGTTGATACTTATTACTTGATATTATTTCATTTAAAATTCCGAAAATTAGTAGTAGTCATTGTTCTAAAATAAAGTGTTGGATTGAAAAATATCCAGAATTGAAAACAGAAGGCAAAATTATATTTTGCACGTCGTGTAATAAAGCTATTGGTTGTGTACGTAAATCACATGGAAATGTATACATGATTACAAATTTTAATCAAATATTGTAAAGTCAGTTATATACAAATTGTCAGTTTATTATTATTTTATTAATAAATAGTAATAAATATAATGACTAATGAGTAATAAATAATAATATTAAAAAAACAAAGTATTAAAATTAAAATTAGAAGTACCTATAATGAACATTTTGTCTTTGCACGTTTTTGCACATTTTAACATTTTAATTGCACATTTTTTAGATTTTAGCTGCACAAAAGTATATTTATAACAATAATAATAATTTCATAAAAGCACGAGACCAAAATCGATGACCGACTGCTAGAGAATCAAACTAGGAATTCATAAATTCATAATATTTATTTGTGTTCATGAAAAAAAATTGTGACAATGGATTTTAATACTTTCAAATGTCATTGTGACAATGTATTAAAGAAATTTGACTGCCACCCAAACCATGATGACAGACACAAAAAAATAATTTTAAAAATTAATACATTCATTGGAAAATTAAGTTCCCATATCTGTATTGTATTCATTTTTAAAAGCTCAGCATATATCCGTATGTCTTCTGCTGTCATTTTAGTTATTTTTAAAAAAAAGTAATATTTTTTTAAAAAGTTCTCATAAGTAATGGATCACTATAAACATTTTCCCTCCCCTAAAATTGGCGCCCAGGGCATATGCCTCAGTTGCGCTCCCTTAAATTCGCCACTGCTTGAACTTGCTACCTGTGCTCACCTAGTATGCTGATTAAAAAACAGCTCTGCTTAATTCGTGTATATTTTATAACTAATCTAGCTGATCCCGTGCACTTCGTTACCCGTTAAATGTATCAAATCTATTTGACTCAAACTTTGTTCAATTCATCATTTAATATTCAGTGTATAGTGTTCAAAATGTATCTTAACTTTTCCTTTTGCTGGGTGTTATCAATGGATAACTTCCCAACCTTAATATTTCACCGTCAATTTTATATTATTCTTTTTTTATCAAATCTAATTATTGTACAAAAATTTGTATAGATTGTAGATGTATTTAAATAATAATAAAAAAAAAAAAACTTTTCCGTTGTCAGGAATAATAATAATAACTCTGATTCCCTGCACCAGTATATTATCAGATAGGCAATCTATCTGCCTTAGAACCCGTGATGTTTGTACGTAAGTGTATGATTTAACTCTAAAGTATCAAAGTTATACCAAGTTTATTCCACCTATGGTAGATTAATATAATCAGTTAATACAAAATCCAAACCGTACTAATATCAGATGAATGAAAACAAACCAAATTTAACCGTTTTTAAATTAGCCTGTCCTCTTCCCAGAGGTCTAAGCTACACACAAACATTAATTCATTTATACATATATTGACAAAAAACAATAATATAAATCAACAAACATGTCCGATTAACTAATTGCAAAAAGTATAAAGTATAATACACTTAAATATTTAAATAATTAGGCGTGAAAATCTGAAGCCTTAACAATCCTAGAATAATTATTTTCAGAATTATAGTAAAAAATCTGAACATTTTGTGCATTTTCTAGTATTTTTGTTGATTGGCTATAACTTTGTCAATTTTGGACTTAGAAAGTTGGTTAAGCCACCAAAATTGCATTACAAAATTAGGCAAAAAATAATTTGTGGTTGGGGGATGCGCAAGTATAATTAAGTTAAAAAAATTCAAAGGCCATGGAAAGGTGTATTTTTGTGTCATAACAACGAACAAGTAAGCAGAATTCAAATATCAGGGCTCTACGCAAAGATATTGAGTGTTCTCAATTAGCGTTTACACACTGTTTATAAGCACATAGGTATAATTACATATTTTAAAACACAATAAAAATAATAACCAGTTTAAAAAAAAATATATATTTAAAAAGTTTAAGAAAATGTATCGTTCACTGCACAGATATCTATAGGTATTACGGATTATAATGATTATATTGTATCATATAAATTCGAATTATTTGTTATATTTATAAATTAATGGTATATAACATTTGTAGATATTTGAACTACACGACAGTATAAATTCGAAATGATGAATAAACTTATATACCAAACGGTTGATTTATAAATAATTATAGATAAATAAATAAACAAATAAATTAATAATAAATTAATTAGTCGCGTACACAGACAATATTAATAATTATTAATAAGTCATGGCGATATTGACTGTCTATCACGTCTCTAGGTGTGGATAAACTCACAATAGTATTAATATATTTTTTAATATAATATTATTAATAATTGTAATAATAAATTGAGCTATTGAATTTGGCCAGAATACGCCTCGTGGTGGGCTTCGATGCTGCGGCCGTAATGGTAGCCGGACGGGAGCAACTCGGTATCGTGTCCGCTCATCTGCTGCGGCTGGAACAGTTTCTTGAGCATCATCAAACCGGACAGGAGCAGGGCGATTTTGCTCAGCAACAGCGCCTTGCCGGCCATCAGGGCGATCATTTTCAAAGCCATCGGGCCCACGACGCCGGCGGCCATCATGCCGGCCATCATCAGGGCCTGTTGCATGGCCTTGTCCTTCTTCTTGCGACCTGCAAAAATAAACATAATATGTCATATTATATTAATATATTAACATTATTAAAGAAAAATTATATTGGTGATATTTAAGGTTGGAAGTGTAAAAAAAAAACCCCAAAAATGTTTTATACCAAAAAATTCAATATAATGCGCATATAAAATGCACTTAATTTTTTTTTTTACAGGATTTCACAATTTCAAATCTTCTTTCGGTGGATTTTTAATCCAAGAAAATAATTATTTAAATTCAATATTGAAGTGGTTATAGGGTTACTTTTTAACCAAATTGTATCTTAGAATCGGGAGAAAACTACCTCGGTTCACACGTTGATGAACTCAGTTTTGTGATACTATAATAATTACAGCTTACCTACAGCTGTTCAGACTTATTATAATAGCCCATTATAATATTATAATATAGTCCATATCACTATGGCTCTATCCGTATGTTTGAAATATTTTTTCCGATATATGGGGCACCCGACTACCCGAGTACTTACCGCTTGGTAATAAGAAATAACAACTCAACATTTTTAAGTGGTTATAATTTAACAATCATATGATTATCTTAAATACGGAGAAATTTTAAAAATCGAAAGTAGTTTCATATTTTTGTCGAAATTCGCTCAGTTAAGAACACGTCATGACGACGGTTGCATGTAACTACCTAAATTATAATTTATAGTGCTGAAGTTTTGACTTCTGTGGCGTAATCGCAAAAACGTTTAAGTCCATAATACACCATGTCACATTATTGTATTTATGGAATCTATAGACTATAGTACTTAATTTTATCATGTTATGTATATTAATAATACTGAAATCCACGGAAAACCAAATTCACATTCCACTTGGCGTAATACAGGGATTAGGAAACAGTAGATTTGGGTAGTTTTTCAAAAATTGTGTGACAGTGTGACACACATCGATCTTGGTTCACGGTTTAATAATAATATCAGAAAACTCAAAACATTCGAGTAAAATATTACAATGCAAAGTAAATACTGTGCTAATATTATTTTATTATTATTTTTCAATTATATCATTATTATCGCCGTTTAAAAAAAAAAAAATAACCCATTCTCGGTATATTTTTTGAATAGTTAAAACGTTCAAAATACAATTACGCTGCTAAGTTATATTTTCGTTCTGCGAAATTCTCTCATTATTTGCGTGTGAACATCTGGACAACGATTGTAAACTGTTGTGTATAGTACCTATACATAGCCTCGGGAGGTTACCCATTCGCGAATAGGACTTTAATATTTGCTGAACATAACGAACTCGTCCGACAGTAAATACTAAATTCACTAGATGAAACGGTATTGGAGGACATTAGTCGTGATGTACCTATGTGCGATACTACCATATGAGTGTGTGTGCAAAGGACCTTTGTGTATATTAAATGTCAATACAGCGAAACTTCCATTTAACTATACATTTTCAGTTTAACGAATCATTTTTGAGAATCAAACCAAATGTAAATAACGATAATATTGTACCCTACGATAATATTATACCAATATTATACAGCGACAACGTTTCATTAGATAATTCGACGTCCTTTAATGCAAATGTCACAATCGTTTTTATCGAGTGAGAGAAAGAACTCAATTTTATATAATATATTACTTCAAAGTTCAAACCACGACGAAAAACATATCAAATTTGCGAAGTTACAGTCCAACTGCAGATCCAATTTTTAGTTTTTAGCATTTTAGAATAAATTACCTCTAGTACCAAACTCAAAGGTAAGGGCATTAGCTGGGTTCTCCCATTGTGTTTAACGATATTTACATTTTTTAGCGAGTTTATAAATTTTAATAATTTAGCTATATAACTCGTTTGATTATAAAAATATCTTAAAAACCCACGAGAAACCACAGATCATTTTCCAACCTATAAGTTTGGTAATTGGTCAATCTTGTACTCTATATTGTTGAAACTTACTTCACAAAATTGGAACTGATGAACACAAATTTCCTATGTTGTAAGACGGAGCGACGCTTGCGGTTTTGGCGTCCTCTTATGCATGATTTCTATTCTGATCAATCAACGAAAATTGTATGCTCAAATAATTCAGTGATTAATATTATTGGTTACTGGTCATGCATAGTCGGTATAGAAAACATAAATACTCATATTAATTATTATATAAAGCAGCAGGTAAGTTATCGGTCTGTAACCCCGAAATCAAAACTTTCGATTTTCCTTTATAAAATTCTTAAGTCCGACATTCACAACAGTTGTAACACACAGAAATGTTAAAACAGTCTTACACTAATTAATAATACATATATGCAAGTTTTTGACACTCAACTGTGATGGAGGAACTTCAGATTGAAGTTACGAATTTAAAATCGAGTAAATATAATATAACTAATAAATAATATAGGTATGTCCAGTTCATCTTTTCACTCAATTATAAAAAAAAAAAATGGTCCGAAAACTGTGTTATCTATATGGAAAAAAATGTAGTTTTCGGACAAAAGTTTTTCTTTTTTTTTTTAATCGTAACGGCTGAACTTATAAAGTGGTTCCAGAAATCTAAAATGTTCAATTGGAGCTGTCAATTGTGTGTCAAATAAATTGACTATACGCATAAGACGTGTTCAACTATATAGGTATTAAAAACTTTTTATTTTTAATTTAAATCCCAAAATAGTTATGTCCGTAAGTGTTTTTTAAAAACTCGACCAAATCAAAATGTTTTAGAAACTTTTTCTGTAGATATACTGATTGCTGGATGAACAATTTCATATACCGTGACACGGCGAACCCTCCATCCTTAGGTGACGTTCTGTAGTATGAGTGTGCGATACAGAGCGAAACGTATAAATACCTAACCGACAATCGTTATTGCTATTATGGTTTGTAAATCATAGGCACATATTATGAGACGACGGCTGAGATTATTGTTGAAATGTTATTTTTCTGTGGTGGGACTAATAATTTATTTATATAAATTATATTTGATATTATTTCGATTCAAAAGTCCGTAGAAGAGGGTCGAAGGTGTTGACAATCGCATACAGATTATAATTTAAAATGTTTATCTTTTTATTATTGTTATTATTTATTAAAAGAATAACTACAATGATAAATAATTTTGTACAATAAGTATTATTTTTTGAAAGAAATAACGGTGAATATAACATAGTGGGTAAATGTGTATCTAGACGTGTTTAAGTGTTTGAATATAATGATTAAATATCAAATGTGTAACGTAATAATCTTTTAGAAATTTGTGTAACAGCCCATGTCCGCGAATTTTTCTAAAAATAACATAAACCTTTATGTGGTATAACATAGTTGTACATTACTAAGTTTACTTAAGTATATTAAGTATACCTATACAAAAAATTCTGACATTAATTTAACATAACGTGTAAACATTTTTTAATTATTTAATAAATAATCATTGTGTAAAAAAATATTAAAATATTTCAATCAACATTATTTTGCTAGCAAAAAATAGGTCCTAAAAGATTTTATTGTTAATCTTAAGTTAATCATAATACATAAGTAGGTATATACATAGTATTAGTATAATATGGTAATTTTTTTTTATAATAAAGGGTAATCAAAATGGGGCTTTTCACTTTATTAATTATTTTCTTTTTGGAGTATTTATAACATTATTTATAAAAAAAAATTTTTTTTTTATTTTTTATCATAATGATTATTTAATTGTTATAATCAGAGGCAGAATAACTACCGCCTAACCTATCGAATTATCATTAATAAATTGGGGTAGAAATTCAAAGGGATCTTCCTGTATAGCTGAATTAATAAATAGATAGTTATTTAACACGACGTAGATGGGACGATAATCGACTGTTTAAAAACTAAAATAGATTTTAAAAAAATGTTGAAAATAGCCATTTTGTTCATAAATTACGTGACTATTATCCTCGTTCGCTGCAGTCAATAGTCATACATGCGATATAATATAATAATACATTATAGGACCATTAATGAAGTATAATATAAGTTTCTTCCCCATAAATAGTAAAATAAAATCGCAAATCCGTTGTTTTCGCATAAAATAAGGCTATATCCCACACTGTTCCTAAACTGACAACAGCTCACATATTATATTATATTATTATGGTAATAAAAATTACAGAGGAGTCGGAAAAATGACTACATTTTCTCATCAATTAATAAGACAATATAAATCGAGCACTTCTATAATTGTTTACACCTTTTCATACGCTTGTAGATCGATATTATTTGGTAAGGCGATTACTAGTAAAAATAATTAAATAATATAGGTAGTCATAGCTTATTTATAATTTATCACTATAATTTAATATTAATATGTGCCCTTGTTTTCGAAAATTTACTATATTTTAAATAAAGTATAACTGTAAAAGGTCCCGCTCTATCATAGCAAGGTGCCAATGCCAAATCCGCACTATTTTTTATTTTCGAATGATAGATGCAGGCAACTGATATTTTTTAAGACTTCTAACGTTCTATTTGGAAATTTTGAGGACATGGATTAATTTTACACGACACTCAAGAGTACCTATGCCATGCCACATATGTTGTCTCCGTCATACAAACACACGGCATGCCAAATTTGAGGTTCCAACTTCCAATTTTGTATATCCTAAGTATTTTCATTTTAGATTTTTTTTTTGTATTTAAATTTGAAAGCGAGATATGAACATTTTAAAATTGTCGACCAATAGTCATAAGATCTTGTTTAAAATTTAGGGAACATAATGATCTAAGTTTGATGACTAACGACGCATAATTGGTACTGCTAAATACAAATTTAATATCTATTTGACATGCAAGACATACACAACGCACATTCTAGACGTTATCAATCGTAGGTGTAACTGAACGAGCATTGAAGTACAATTTAAACTTTAAAGTATAAATCTAAGTTATAACATTCTATAATATTTGGTACGATTAGGCGGAAATGTGTGGAAAGAAGTAAGTATAGTGAGCACATACTCGTGTAAACTTTTAACGCCAATGAAAAAGAAATTAAAAAAAAAAAATGAAAATGGCTTGTGCAATAATGTTCAATGTCTCTACATCAACCATCACATATGTAAGATAATATATTTATTATATTGCACCTGAAATACAAAATGTAGCTACTTATAGGTCTCATTTAAATGGGTCAAAAATCGATTTACAGTGGTCTTATATAGGTCTTACTATAGTTAGGGTGACCATACGTTCCATTTTATTTTGCATCCCGTTTCCTGTTTGTCTATAGAATAACTATGAACGGGGTGCTTTTTGTCTCTGCGTAAATCCCACTATCTCTATACTCTATAGTATAGAGTCTATACCATTACAATATGCGCATAAAATAATCGTATTAATAATAATCATAATTACACAAAATAAAATATAAGGTAATATTTTTATAGATTTATCATGAATCTGTAGTCTATAGTTATATTTTATAAAAGACTATTTTTGCATACAACGAGCATCAAGCCCCGACAAACAATACGTCAATAACAATTGATAAAATATGTTATTTTCGATATGAGGGGAGCGCGATCGCTGTGGCCGAAACGTTTCGCCAAAAAGGCGTAAGCACCTCTGTATTATCGCAGCGATACCGGGTATACGGTTATTGATTTATTCTATACGGCGCTTACCTTCTTGGCCGGCCCCATCCAGCACGATGGTCCTAGTGGACATGAGCCTGTCCATGCGGTTGGCGAGCATGTCGTCCAACAGAGAGTTCTTGCTGTCGGCGTCCGGGGCGGCGTCCAGGGCGGCGCGGTCTGCCTGGTCGGCCTGCAGATCGACGGCTTGCAGCGACTTGCCGGCCCTGGCGGTGAGGGTCACGCCGTCCGCGACGGTGATCGCAGGCTTGCCGAGTGCCCGGTCAAGGGCCGTCAGCGCTTTGGACTTGAGGCACACGGTGGCCGGTTCGGCCGCGTCGCCGTCGCCGAAACAGTCGTCCAGCACCGACCACAGGACCGCGCCGAATCCCGTCGAGCCTTGCCGCTGCTGTTGTTGTTGTGGTGGTGATTGTTGTTGTCCCTGTGGCGTCGGCGGCGGCACGGAAGAGGCGATACCGATAACGGCCGAGGCGACGCAAACCAACGACAGCGCGAACACGTACGTGGACGACATAATGCTTACTGGAATAATATTATTTTAATGTTGCTGTTTAGAGTCGCGGGTCGGTGTTGGTGTCGGTATCACTGGAGCAGGTGTTCGTCTTGCGTCGTTCGGCACCTATATGGCGTACGGTTGTCTTGTTGCGGTGGACGCGGCCGTCGTCGTCGTCGTCGGCGGCGGTGATGCGGATGTGATGGTACCGACGTGGTCGCGGGGCGCTTATATACGGCGCTGCCGCGACCAGAGCACCGTGAAAATAATAATGGGCGGACGAGTTTCACCGGCGGCGTAGTGTTCGGCTGCTGCGGCGGCGGCGGTCGTTTTCCCAGCGCGCTCCGTCCGGAAAATGTTACTAGCTTTATCATAACCAACATCATTATTATTACTATTATTATTATTAATAATTTTGTATATTATGATACATGTATTATTATAATATCATTCTAGTGTGATCAATTTGACGCGCTACGCTCGTTTTGTCGGTGAACTATTCGTCTGCGTTTTTAATTGCTTTTCATTTTTTTTTGTTTCTATAATTTTCTCTCTATCGCGTGTTGTATAAGCTATAATATTATAACTACTGTTGTACCGCTGCTGTTCGTCTGTACACCGACGCTAAAATATGGAATATCACATTTGGTTTTGTATATTTTATAGGTGTTTATTTGAGTCGATATACCCCCCCCCCCCCAAAAAAAGGTCAAAAGCATGTCACTTGCGTCCTGAAAATGGTTTATTCGAATGCTCTCTGCAGTTAATATTGTATGCGAATATACTGCAGCTACTTATCCATAATATATTATATTGTTGCATAGTACTAACCGCGGTACCTATGTTATAACATATACCATTACCGTGGTAGGTCACGTCTGTAGGTATAGGTTAACCTATGCTACATTGCTACAGTTATTATATAAATAAATACGGACAAATTCTGGTATTATTGTTTGCTTAAACTGAATATATTTTACAGACTACATCATCACATACAATAATAGTTTATGTTTATTAATTATTATGCATATTATACAGTGTATGATACCGACGAGTAACGTAAGTAATGAAAAGTTTTATTTAATTTTAATATGTATTAGTAATTGTCAAATTACATTGTTAACATTTGTGATAAACGTACAAATATTTTCATATAATACAAAAAAAATACTTTTTAAGTATTTTGAATACTTTTGAAATGCAGTATTCGAATATAAATATTTCAAATACAAATATTAGCCAAGTATTTAAATACGTATTTTGAATACATTTGAAAAGTATTCTTAATAAATACATAGTTTAATTGTTTCAATAATTTCAGACGTCACATACCTACTTATTATATTGTCAAGTTAAACTTCGGCAAGATAAATAGGATTTTTAGGTATTGGGTCATCTGCATAATATTCAATTAAAACGTGGACATTCCTAGAAACATTATAATATATTATTTTAAGACCAATTTTTAAAATTGTAATATATGAAACAAAAATATTCGTTGAAAAAAACCAACGACGGAAAAATATTTACTTTTCTGAAATAAAATACAAAGAAAAAGTTTTTTTGAAAGTATTTAAAATACACTAATCAAAACGCATTTGAATTACTAAAACAGTATTCGAATAATCGAATACTTAACAATACTGGTGATGAGTTTACAACTATGGTGTAAATGCACCAATGTCTAATGAGTAATGTCTGACATATTTATGTTGTAGGTAAATCAACAGTTTGAATAATTTATTTAACAGTCGTAACAGAACGTATAGTAAACGGTATTAACGTCCAGCGCGCCTATTGAGGGGTGCAAGGGGGAACATGAGCCCCCTAGAAAATAATAACGTATACTGAAATAAATTAAGTATGCTTGAATTTATATACTTATGAATATTTGATACCACACTTAATACTCTTGACTTTTGCTTAGTACTTATCACTTTCAAGAAATACTAACCTATATATATGCTATAAAATAAGGTTTGGGAAATCTAGTTTCATTCCCCCTCCCCCCTTAAAATTACCCTATAAGCGCCAATGATAGTTGTTTGAAATACCAAGATTGGTGGTTAACGTATATATTTTACACTTATAACCAATACTTACTGCTCCGTTCATTTATAAATTAACTTATTATTTCATAGAATATCGATAATCAACACCTTTACTGTAATATAATATATTATAATAAGTGGCGTAATTTAGTGGAGGGGGGCAGGGTGGGGCATTTGTCCCCTTGTCATTATCAGGCCGGGTATTGGTTAGTTTTGGTCCTTCATAATAGCTAATATGTAATATAAGTACCTCTCTGCATAATATGTATTAATTATTCGTCATTGTTATCTCTCAAAATAATATGGGTTATTTATGCCTATGATAGTAACCACGGTTATCTGATATAACCGTGATAGTAACTAGTAAGTATAAAATGATGCAAAGATTTCTATATACCTAGTTATAGAAGTCTGTGAAATTATGTAAGAAGGCTATTTGTATTGAGATAAAAATGCAATTGTATTTGTAATGTAATGTAATGTAATTGTTAGAGAGCAGTTTTTTTTTCAGTTTTATTTTAGGCCGGTCAAAAATGTTGTCCCTCCCTCTCAAAAACTGAAATTACGTCATTCATTATAATACTTAAGACGTAAGACGATCCAGGATAAAAAAGAAAACTTTTTTGTAAAATTAACCAATATTTTTTTACTTAAGTATTTACTCAATTAAATATTTTATCCTTATTAGTTATTTCGTTTTTGTTAATGTTACAATTAATAAATACCTAAATATTAAAAAACAAATACTACCTATATGGTATTAAATAATAAATCAATAATATCTATCGATTTATATTGAATAATAAAATATATCATTATGGTGAATATACAATTTTCATTTGTGCATATGAGTATAGCATTATGACCTATGTTTTAAAGTTTTAACACTGGTACCTATCTATTGTTTGGCGGATACAAAACTCAGCAATTTTCGTTCCCAATTTTACAAGAACTTAAGGACACGTATAAAAAATTGACTACAGGTTTAGTTAAAATTTACTGAGTTGAATACTTATGAAGTGTAAGACTCTTCTTATGTTAATGTAGTCATAATAATGTTTAAAAAGACAAACTGCTGCCAGTATGAAAATTACTTATGACCTTTTCTGAACTTTTTTCATTAAGTTGTAACTTACTCAAATATATACCGTGCAGTGCATCATTGTAAAGTCTGTCGGTGCAGTACGGTCAATTCCAGTGATAAAATAATATTATATTGTCCGATTGTTATTCATTTTATGATATTATAATTTATAAGTATAGTCGTATAGATACAAAAATATTGAAGTGGGCCAAAAAGTATTAGAAGTTATCTTGTGTTTTTCATTTAAGTCACGAAAAAAATTAAATGGCTGCATACGAACTGAGTCCCAGTATAACCTTTTATGACGAATTGAGTCCCGGGTTGTTTTAGGGTATAAACCAATTGAGTCCAGTGAAATTGTAGGTATAATACTAATTTAGTCCATGTTTTAATACTAACTGAGTCCCGTAAAATTTAAAAAAAAAAAACATTTTTCTTCCCATTTTTAAAGACTTAGGACTGTCTGTAACAAAAAATTCTATAGGTGTGGTTAAAATGTTTTTTTTTTTTTAAATATTTTATAATTTAAATATATAATAATGTAGGGGTATAATATAATATGAATAATTTATGTATAATTAAATAAATGTAGATAATGATAAAATAACATTTTTATATTGGTAAGAATTTATGGGATAAGCATTGTACATATTCAAATCTACTTATTGTGTTCGATTGAAACAGCTACATTTGATGGCTGATTTCTTTTTCTTTTTCTTTTATACAATTTCTTGAATTAATTATTAAAATTCCCGGCCCATAGTATAATATGTTACTATATTATCTGACGAAAGTCATAAAAATGATATGAATGTTATGTATATAATATATATAGGTATATCCGTGTGGACCGGCTTTTGACGCGCGGCACGTTTGTATGGTATAATTTTCGCTGTGTCTGGACTCTGGATGGTTATTTTATATTTTACTCAAAATAATCCTCGGACTCAATTCGTATACAATTAGTTTCCTAACCCCAGACTCAATTAGTATATGTTTCGTTTGTACCCGGGACTCAATTAGCACATTATTTTTTTCCCGTTCAGGTATAGGGACTCAATTAGTATACAGTGAATTAAATTTAAGAAAATAAACGAAAACAATTTGCATTACTTTCAAATTTTGACAATATAGGTTTCTTAAGATTTAAGTAGTACCTATTCACCAACATGCAATGCTGACGTTATAAGTATGCCACCAGGTACAGGCAAACAATATAAGGGGATTTAATAACACTTTCGAGATAGCTAAAGGAAGTTCATTTTTAATAGATTTTTAAATTCGTGTTTTTATTTGTTTTTTCTTAGCTTAGGTTCTGTTACTTATTGCAATGATGTGTATAATATATTACTACTAGCTGAACCCGTGCACTCCATTGCCCATTAAGTGTACCAACTCTATGTCTCTATGTGACTCAAACTTTGTTCAATTCTTTATTTAATATTCGGTGTACGGTTTCAAAATTAATCTTAACTTTTCCGTTGACCGGAATAAAAAAATCTGATTCGCTGCAGTACATTATCAGGTAGGCAATCGCGGACCCCGTGCTGTATGTACGTTAGTGTATGATTTAGCTCTAAAGTATCAAAGTTATACCAAGTTTGTCGTATCCTACCTATAGTGGATTAATATAATCAATTAATACAAAATCCTAACCTAACTTAATCGTACTAAAATCAGATGAATAAAAAAACCTAATTTAACCATTTTTAAATTAGCCAATCTTCTTCCCAGAGGTCTAATCTACACACAAACATTCAATTATATACACTACGGAATGGCAACATTATTCGAAGATTACCGTTATTTTCACCAGAATTGTGGTCTGTTTTTAATCAGAATATTCCAAGAACGCAAAATAATATTGAAGCCTGTCATGGGTG